GGTAGGTAGGTAGGTAGGTAGGTAGGTAGGTAGATAGATAGATGGATGGATGGATGGATGGATGGATGGATGGATGGATGGATGGATGGATGGATGGATGGACGGACAGACAGACAAGATAGATAGATAGATAGATAGATAGATAGATAGATAGATAGATAGATAGATAGATAGATAGATAGATAGATAGATAGATAGATAAAGAAAGAAATGGATAGCAAATGGTTGATAGAAATAGATAGAGACAGATAGACAGGCAGATAGATAGATGATAGGTAGGTAGGTAGGTAGACAGACAGACAGACAGACAATAAACAAACACACCATCCCTTACATTTCTCAATCTCCATGATTTCGCTGGGGTAAACCTCAATCTGTACCTTCCCGTCAGCTTCGTTTTTGTCAAGCCATCGGTTGCAGGGGAAGTTGTACATCTTGCCGTGGACGGGGATAATAATCTGAACGCTGCCAAGGTGCCAGCCTGCTTGGAGGCCCACGTTGTCGTGCCCGATGAGAATCCGGTGGATCTTCAGAAAAGAAAGCGGAAGGAAGGAAGGAAGGAAAGAAGAACAGTGTGTGTAATACCGTCTTAAAAGATCCACTGCTGCGGTGATACGTAAAGGGCATCTGGGTTGGTAAAGGAAGCAGCCTTATGTGTTTTCAGCACGGCATCAACATTTTCTGGTAGATGTGGGCTAAATAGGAGAATATTTGTAATTCAGGGTTGAAATAAACAAGTCTTTGGTGCTCGCGGACCTCCGTTGTTTTCTTGCCGACGTTATATTATGTCTGGAAGGTGGCTCAGGACTCCCAAGACAAACGAACTCATTTGGGATTCCAGGAACTAATTTTACTGGAGCAAAGTGTTTGCAAAGGCTGGTGGACCTCACTCACGCAGGAGAATAACCCCCACGTACAATTCTTAAAAGCATACATTAAATAATAATAATAATAATAATAATAATAATAATAATAATAATAATAATAATAATAATAATAATAATAATAATAAAGTTGGAAGGGACCTTGGAAGTCATCTAGTCCAACCCCCTGCTCAGGCAGGAAACCCTATACCATTTCGGACAAATGGCTGTCCAGTCTCTTCTTAAAAACCTCCAGTGTTGGAGCATTCACCGCTTCTGGAGGCAGGTTGTTCCACTGGTTAATTGTTCTGTCAGGAAGTTTCTCCTTAGTTCTAGGTTGCTTCTCTCCTTGATTAGTTTCCATCCATTGCGTCTTGTCCTGCCTTCAGGTGCTTTGGGGAATAGCTTGACTCCCTCTTCTTTGGGGCAGCCCCTGAGAGATTGGAAGGCTGCTATCATGTCCCCCCTCGTCCTTCTCTTCGTTAAACTGGACATACCCAATTCCAGCAGCCGTTCCTGATATGCTTTAGCCTCCAGTCCCCTGATCATCTTTGTTGCTCTTCTCTATACTCTTTCTAGAGTCTCAACATCTTTTTTACATCTTGGTGACCAAAACTGGATGCAGGATTCCAAGTGTGGCCTTACCAAGGCCTTGTAAAGTGGTATTAACACTTCACGTGATCTTGATTCTATCCCTCTGTTAATGCAGCCTAGCACTGTGTTGGCTTTTTTGGCAGCTGCAGCACACTGCTGGCTAATATTTAAGTGATTGTTTAAATGATTGTTTACTAGGACTCCAACATTCCTCTAGCAGTTACTACTATTGAGGCAGGTACCACCTATTCTGTTTGGTTTTTCTTGCCTAAATATAGAAAGTTACTTTTCACAGCATTGAATTTCACTGAATTTCATCCATTCATACTACTATTGAACTATATTTGTACAGGTTTTTTTTCAAAAACTGTGACAGTGGAAAAACACTCTTAAAAACATTTTCACTAAAACAAACCTGCAGTCAGTTCTTAGTCTGCATCATAACTTCAAATCTTTCTTACCTTCCCAATGTCCATTGTATCCAGAGTAAAGATATCTATCCGGCTACGTTCAAAGTAATTTCCTAAGTCATTATCAGAAACTAGAAGAAATTCCTTTTTGGTGTCTGCTTTTTCACCGTACAGCTTGATCAAAACCTTTGAATCTGAGCTGGCTCCTGGGACATCTCCCGTCTTTATACTGATGTGATAACTGATATCTGTGAACACATTAACATTTGTACACAAGAGACATAATAATAATAATAATAATAATAATAATAATAATAATAATAATAATAATAATAATAATAATAATAATAATAATAATAAAAATAATAATAACAACAACAACAACAACAACAACAATAATAATAACAACAATAATAATAATACCAAGCCTTAAGGACAAATGCATATAAAGTCAAAATTGAGAAGACAGCAATAGACAGTAAGTGCCGCCTACGCAAAGACGCTGAAGAAACAGTGGACCACCTGGTAAGCTGCTGCAAGAAGATTGCACAGACTGACTACAAGCAGCGGCATGACAAAGTAGCAACAATGGTGCATTGGAAGATCTGCAAGAAATACCATTTGCCTGTAAGCAAGAACTGGTGGGATCATAAAATAGAGAAAGTCATAGAAAATGATAAAATTAAACTGCTCTGGGACTTCAGAATTCAAACAGACAAGCACCTGCAACATAACACCCTGGACTTAACAATTGTTGATAAGAAAGACAAAAAAAGTCTGGATAGTGGACGTGGCAGTGCCTGGAGACAGCAGAATAGACAAGAAAGAACTGGAGAAGATCACAAAATACAAAGACCTACAAATAGAAATAGAAAGACTGTGGCAAAGGCAAGCAAGGGTAGTACCAATAGTAATAGGCACCTTGGGTGCAATCCCAAAATAACTGGAGCACCACTTGAACACCATCATCGGCATTGACAAATTCGCCATCAGTCAATTGCAAAAGGCGGCCTTACTAGGAACTGCTTCTATCCTGCGACGATGTCTGTAATACCATCAAACATCCACATCTGCCTATCCCAGGTCCTTGAGAAGGACTCGATAGGTAGACAAAAATGC